AAAATGGCCACAATGCCTTGCCGCTCCTCCCACTAGGACACGCAGTCTATTTTTCTCCCCAGGGACTAGCTTTGATCAATAGAACAGAATGCAAGCAACACTGGGAGAGTACTGAGTTCAGGTCTTATAAATACTTTATAGCTACAAAGTATCTGTGTAGACACTTTACCCTCTGAGGTCCACTGTAACCATCCCCACATGAATTAGCCTGAGCTACCACGTTGGAGGATGAATGCCCACTCTGAGCAGAGATGACCCTCCAAGGTGACTCATCTCAGAGCACCAGGCCTTGAGCTCACCCGGCAGCTCACCACCAACAGATGAATAAGCAGCTGGGCTCAGTAAGCCCCGCAGCCCAGTGAGCCCCGCCCGAAATACCAACCCACAAAATTGTGAATCAATGGTTTTTCATTGTAAGTCGCTATGGTTTAAGGTGGTTTGTTACATAGCAAAAAATTGACTGATTCAGTTGCCTGTAATTTCTAACGGCTACTGAAACCCTCTGCAGAAGCCCACGTGTAAGATCCCTGTTTTAAAATACCCCTTTGGAAGTGGCGCCTAGGTGTCTCTCAGTCAGTTAAGCATCCAACTTCAGCTCAGGTTGATCTCGCGGTTCGTGAGTTCGAGCCCTGTGTTGGGTTCTGTGCTGATGGTGCAGAGCCTGGAGCCTGCTTCGGATTCTGTCTCCCTCTCTCTCTGCCCCTCCCCTGCTCACATGGTGTGTGTGTCTGTCTGTCTTTCTCTCTCAAAAATAAGTAAACAGTGGGGCGCCTGGGTGGTTCAGTCAGTTAAGCCTCCGACTTCAGCTCAGGTCACGACCTCACAGCTCGTGGGTTCAAGCCCCGCGTCGGGCTCTGTGCTGACAGCTCAGAACCTGGAGCCTGCTTCCCATTCTGTGTCTCCCTCTCTCTCTGCCCCTCCCCTGCTCATGCTATGTCTCTGTCTCAAAAATAAATAAACATTAAAAATTTTTTTTTTCAAATAAGTAAATAATTTTAAAAAATTTTTTAAAGAGAAAAAACATCCTCCCCAATAAAAATTAATCCCAGAAATCTAAATTCCAAGGCACATGACTAAATGCAAGACCAAGTAAGAAAGCCAACAAAATCACAGATTGCAACATGAATTCACTTCTGGTGAAAATAACCTTCTGAAACAATAGGACAGAAACTTTATATGTATGCTTAGGATATTATCAATATGATAAATGAAGGAATAACCTCTATGAATAAAAGGCAAATAATTACACAAAATGGAAAATTTTTAATTGCTATTAAAATTTAGAAACCTTGGAAATAAAACACACACAAAAATGAAAATGAAAAATCCAATAATTGGAATCAACTCCAGACTGGGCACAATTGGAGAAAGAACCAGTAAACTAGAAAATATTACTAAGGAATATACTGAAAGAACAAAAATATTTAAAGGAAAAAAAGAGGGTTTTTTTTTTTTAATATGAAATATCAGTTAAACAGTTTAGAGGATGAGCTATAACTGACAGGCACTCCAGAAAAAAGGACAGAATATAGGGGACTCAGTATTTTAAGAGTTAATAGCTCTGTTTTTGGGGGGTTTTTTGGGGGGGGTGTTCTTGTATACAACTGAGGAAAGGTATGAGCCCACAGTTTGGAAGTACATTCAAGTGCTAAGCAAGGTATTAATTCACATGTTGAGATTTCAAGAATAAAAAATTCTAAAACTCCCACAGGAGAATAAAACCACAAGAAAATTAACAGCAGATTTCTCTTCAGCAACAGCAGATACCAGAGATCAGTTTCAAAGGTGTTTAGAAATGTGAAAAATCCAGAATTTTGTGTCTCCCTCAACTGTTACTTAAAACAAATATATAAAAACAAATATATGAGTTTATAAAAGGGTCAAATTACAACCTTAAGTAATAACAAGATGGGAAGGAGGGTGTTGAGTGGATACTCTGAGCACTAGAGTGTTTCTCCCGTGTTCAGGCGAAGGTGGGAAATGGACAAACTTGAACATTGCTGAAATAATAGAGAAGAATTGTCTGGGTTACATAATTAATGGTGACGACTAAAAGTATAAAACAATAATACACGTATATGTTATGTATGCTAGGCATGTTACAACACAGCACGCACACTAGCACACTGGTGGAAAATCGAGTTTTTCCAATCCAGGCAAACAAAATAAAACAAAAC